TTCACATTTTAAGCAAGACTGGTATATTTTATTATTACAGGGCAGAGCATTTCAGCTCTTAGGGTGGAGCTACTCTTTAAAGAGAATCAGTATTCAGTAAATGGTAATGAAGCTCTGCAACTGTTTTACAGTTTATAAACTCCAGCTGCACTTTTAACATATTTAGCGTCAACATGTGCTGATTCTAGTTTAATACACACTTTACTCGTCATTACAAATACACTGTTATTGTTATGTACTGTTGTTATACATATAACATAATTTTAAAGTGATATATGTTTTATAAATACTATAAACAAACTTCTCAAATGACAAAAGTAACTATTTGGAAACAACTCGAGAATTAAGGCAGATTTAATCAGCAGTTTAACGCTGTAAACAAAGTCCGGATTTCCAGTGCTGCACCCTCAGGACAAATGCTCGATGTCCAGATTGTTCTGATACGAAAACACAGAAATCAGAGAATGCATTAAAATCAGCAGCTGCAGAATCAGCCGGGCTGTAAACCGAACACCAGTCAACCTGATCAACGTTAAAGCAGAGAAGCTCGTACAGCAGCATTCATCACCACTGATTAGTTTTCCCGTTCCACCTTAAATGGTGCAGAAGTTACATCAGTTAAGGTAGAACAGAAGAACGAGGATCAGAAGCGGATTCAGTTTCGACCGAAGAACATTTTATGAACCCAGTAGTAACTTTACTGTGTTGGTCTGACGGACTTCCTGCAGTCCTGTATCGGCTGTATCAGCCCGTGTTGGATATTAGAGATAATTTCTAATAAGCGCACAGTTCAACAGCGCTAATGCTAATGCTAAAGCTAACGTTAGCTTACTCGCCGCCAGACAGAAAGAAAGCCAAACCTCTAAAGCGCTTGTTCCGGCTGTTTCCGGGCTGTGGTGACGCTTTATTGACAGAATAATCCGACTGGAGCACTTTTTATTCCGCTTTCATGGGTTTTTATTCCGCAAACTGCGCCAAAATCACCGCTTCACCTCCACAACTGCTGCGTCTTCTTCCACAGCGCTACAGCGATATTACAGCCCTCTACTGCCCCCTACTGTCTTCTTCTGTTCCCTACAACTCTCTACTGCCCCCTACTGCCTTCTACTGTTCCCTACAACTCTCTACTGCCCCTACTGCCTTCAAATGTTCCCTACAACTCTCTACTGCCCCTACTGCCTTCAAATGTTCCCTACAACTCTCTACTGCCCCCTACTGCCTTCTACTGTTCCCTACAACTCTCTACTGCCCCCTACTGCCTTCTACTGTTACCTACAGCTCTGTACTGCCCCCTACTGCCTTCAAATGTTCCCTACAGCTCTCTACTGCCCCCTACTGTCTTCTTCTGTTCCCTACAACTCTCTACTGCCTTCTACTGTTCCCTACAGCTCTCTACTGCCTTCTACTGTTCCCTACAGCTCTGTACTGCCCCTACTGCCTTCTACTGTTCCCTACAGCTCTGTACTGCCCCTACTGCCTTCAAATGTTCCCTACAACTCTACTGTCCCCTACTCCCTTCTACTGTGCCCTACAACTCTCTACTGCCCCCTACTGCCTTCTTCTGTTCCCTACAACTCTCTACTGCCCCCTACTGCCTTCAAATGTTCCCTACAGCTCTCTACTGCCGCTACTGCCTTCTAGTGTTCCCTACAGCTCTGTACTGCCCCTACTGCCTTCTATTGTTCCCTGCAACTCTCTACTGCCCCCTACTGCCTTCTTCTGTTCCCTACAACTCTCTACTGCCCCTACTGCCTTCAAATGTTCCCTACAACTCTCTACTGCCCCTACTGCCTTCAAATGTTCCCTACAACTCTCTACTGCCCCTACAGCCTTCTATTGTTCCCTGCAACTCTCTACTGCCCCCTACTGCCTTCAAATGTTCCCTACAGCTCTTACTGCCCCTACTGCCTTCAAATGTTCCCTACAGCTCTGTACTGCCCCTACTGCCTTCAAATGTTCCCTACAGCTCTCTACGGTCCATACTGCCTTCTACTGTTCCCTGCAACTCTCTACTGCCCCCTACTGCCTTCAAATGTTCCCTACAGCTCTATACTGCCCCTACTGCCTTCTAACGTTCCCTATAGCGCTATACTGCCCCCTACTGCCTTCAAATGTTCCCTACAGCTCTATACTGCCCCTACTGCCTTCTAACGTTCCCTATAGCGCTATACTGCCCCCTACTGCCTTCTAACGTTCTCTACAGCTCTCTACTGCTCCTACTGCTCTGTACTGCCCTCTACTGCCTTCAAATGTTCCCTACAGCTCTTTACTGCCCTCTACTGCCTTCAAATGTTCCCTACAGCTCTGTACTGCCCCTACTGCCTTCAAATGTTCCCTACAGCTCTGTACTGCCCCCTACTGCCTTCAAATGTTCCCTACAGCTCTCTACTGCCCCCTACTGCCTTCAAATGTTCCCTACAGCTCTCTAGTGCCCCCTATTGCCTTCTAACGTTCTCTACAGCTCTCTACTGCCGCTTACTGCCTTCTAATGTTCCCTACAACTCTATACTGCCCTCTACTGCATTCTAACGTTCGCTACAATTCTCTACTGATCCTACAGCTCTCTACTGCCACTTACTGCCTTCTAATGTTCTGTGCAACTCTCTACTGTCCCCTACTGCCCTCTACTGCCTTCTAATGTTCCCTACAGCTCTTACTGCCCCCTACTGCCTTCTACTGCTTTCTTATGTTCTCTACAGCTCCTACTGCTCCCTACTGCTGCTTACTGCCTTCTAATGTTCCCTGCAACTCTCTACTGCCCCTACTGCCTTCACATGTTCCCTACAACTCTCTACTGCCCCTCACTGCCTTCTAACGTTCTCTACAGCTCTCTACTGCCTTCAAATGTTCCCTACAACTCTTTACTGCACGCTACTGCCTTCTAACATTCTCTACAGCTTTCTACGCTCCCTCTCTACTGCCTTAATGTTCCCTAACCCTACTGCCCCCTACTTCACATCCCACACTCTCTACTGCCCCCTACTGCCTTCTAACGTTCTCTACAACTCTCTACTGCTCCTACCGCTCTCTACTGCCCTCTACTGCCTTCAAATGTTCCCTACAGCTTTCTACTGCCCCTACTGCCTTCAGACGTTCCCTACAGCTCTGTACTGCCCCCTACTGCCTTCAAACGTTCCCTACAGCTCTATACTGCCACATACTGCCTTCTAACATTCTCTACAGCTCTCTACTACCTCCTACTGCTTTCTTATGTTTTCTATAGCTCTGTACTGCCCCTACTGCATTCTAACGTTCGTTACAGCTCTCTACTGCATCCTACTGCCGCTTACTGCCTTCTAATGTTCCCTGCAACTCTCCACTGCCCCCTACTGCCCTCAACTGCCTTCTAATGCTCTCTACAGCTACTTTAGCAACTCTCCACTGCCCCCTACTTCCCTCTACTGCCTTCAAATTTTCCCTACTGCCCTCTTCTGTCCCCTACGGCTGTCTTTCCTATATGAAAATCAGTCCCAAATGGTACCCTGAGTCCTGAGGTCCTCCACAAACCACACAGATTTACAGGGAAGAGATCTCGACTTATGCATTTGAGATTGGTGTAATGTGCGTGTTCTGCTGGAGCTTTTTTTTTAATAAGCAGGTTCTTATCTACAGTCTGAATTCTGATCACAAACATGATGCAGCTCAAGTTAAATTAATAAACCAATGCATTTTTACTCACTGCTGGATTTGTAAACTCTATGGAAAACGGAGTGCGTGGTAGCTTTTAACACCATGTTCTTTATCATTCTCAGCTAAATGGACGACGTGAGTCTGAATCTGTGTGATGTCTGTAGATGCTGTGATGTTGTGAATTTCCAGTCTGTAGCTCTGCAGCACAGACGTTGTGTGTGTATAAACAATCATTGTGTGTGAGCCACATCACTCAGTCACGCAGAGCCAGTCAGTGTGGTCCACTCAGACCGTCACAGAGCAGCTGGAACTACTGAGACACGTCACAGAGATGCGAGCACAGAGTTCACTTTTGTTAGACTGATTCTAAATCATGATAATAAAAGCAGAGCAGCAGAGACAGTCCACCCAAAACAGAGAATTTATCTCAGCAGACAAAATCACTGCCTTTCGTTTCTCATTTAATCATCAACATACGGGAGCGAACGCAGAGAGACAGACAGACAGACAGACAGTTGGGCCTTACAATACACAATACAGTTATTAAAGAAGAGATTACAGAACATTTCATAAAATTACAGATAACACCATTACTGTCACTCAGTTCACCGCACTGTTCGTTATTTCCGTGAAGTTTTGATATATATTGTGTTTTTTTCGTTACCACTGCATTAACTGGAGATCAGAGACGTCAGCGCTGAGTGCTGATTTCTGGCGTTTTGCGTGTTACAGAAACAGAACTCGTCCTCCAGTTGACTTAATCACCATTTCTCTCCTGGTTTATGATAAAATGTTTTGTGTAAAATGGTGAATAATCCTCAAACTCTGAAAGGCCTGAAATCCTAAATCAGCATCTGACAGTCCAATTAAACTTCGGTTTAAATGCTGAGTATGCAGTCAGAGCATAAAACATTACAATATTACAGTAATTATTACACTACACAGCAGTTACCATAGCAACAGGACAGTCTGAGATTACACATAGGACACTGTAACACACACACACACATGGTTATCAGTGGAGGAGTGTGGTGATGGAGCGACTCCTGAGTTGGAGATTGTTGGTGTTATTGTTGTTGTTGTTACTGTGAGTGAGGCCGAGTGTTCTCTCTAAGCTCTCTCTCTCCTCCTCCACTCTCCTCCTCTCTCGCTCCACCCTCATCTCTTCATCCCTTAGAGTCTGAACATGCCCCTCAAACTCCTGCAGCTCCGCCTCCAGCTCCGCCCACTCTTTCTCTAATCTCTCCATCTCCTCCTCCTGCTCTCTCTCTCTCTCCTCCACCGCCTTCAGCCACTCCTCACTCCCCCTCTGCGGAAACACACACACACACACACACACACACACACACACACACACACTGTTAAATGTGTGTAGTTACATCACTATACAGTTAGATTCATATAGTTATATAGTTACAGTTGTGTACTTATAGTTGTATAGATATACAGTTATAGTTATGTAGTTATATAGTTATGGTTAGTTTTAGTAGTACAGTAAGAGAGTTATAAATATATAGCTATGGTTATGTAGTTATATAATTACAGTTACAGAGTTATAGTTTATGTAGTTACAGTTATGTATGAGGTGTTTTAAGTTGTTTTTAATGAAGACACACTGACTGGTGCAGGTATTCTGTAATAATGGCCTCACCTTCACATCCACACAGTCGATGGGCAGCCAGCGGGGTGGGGCTTCATCATCCAGAAGGAGGAGCTTCTGAACCTCAAACAAACTGTCCTGAATAATCACCACGGCCTGATGGGATGAATAATAAAGTGAACATGGGGGGCGGTGAGAGATGGTGATGGTGTGAGTCTGTAGTTGTGGGGATGGAGGAAATGGTGGTGTGAAGTGGTGGTGGGAGATGGTGTGGTGTGGTGGGAGATAACGGTGGCCGGTGGTGGGGGTAGTGGGGTTGGTGGGAGATGGGAGTATTTGGGGTGATGTCGGGAGGTGGGGGCATTGCGTGGAAGTAGTGGGGGTGGTAGATGGGGTAGGGGGGAGTAGTGTGGGGTGGTAGGTCAGTGCAGTGTGGGGTGGTAGTTGTGTGTTATGTAGGATGGTAGGTGTGTGCGGGGGCAGTGGTGGGTGTGTGTAGTGGGGTGGTGGTAGGTGTGCGGGGGGGCAGTGGTGGGTGTGTGCTGGTGGGTGGTAGGTGTGTGCAGGGGGGCAGTGGTGGGTGGTAGGTGTGTGTAGTAGTGGGTGGTAGGTGTGTGCAGGGGGGCAGTGGTGGGTGGTAGGTGTGTGTAGTGTTGGGTGGTAGGTGTGTGTAGTGGTGGGTGGTAGGTGTGTGCAGGGGGGCAGTGGTGGGTGGTAGGTGTGTGTAGTGGTGGGTGGTAGGTGTGTGCAGGGAGGCAGTGGTGGGTGGTAGGTGTGTGTAGTGGTGGGTGGTAGGTGTGTGTAGTGGTGGGTGGTAGGTGTGTGCAAGGGGGCAGTGGTGGGTGGTAGGTGTGTGTAGTGGTGGCTGGTAGGTGTGTGCAGGGGGGCAGTGGTAGGTGGTAGGTGTGTGTAGTGGTGGGTGGTAGGTGTGTGTAGTGCTGGGTGGTAGGTGTGTGTAGTGGTGGGTGGTAGGTGTGTGCAGGGGGGCAGTGGTAGGTGGTAGGTGTGTGTAGTGGTGGGTGGTAGGTGTGTGCAGGGGGGCAGTGGTGGGTGGTAGGTGTGTGCAGGGAGGCAGTGGTGGGTGGTAGGTGTGTGTAGTGGTGGATGGTAGGTGTGTGCAGGGGGGCAGTGGTGGGTGGTAGGTGTGTGCAGGGGGCAGTGGTGGGTGGTAGGTGTGTGTAGTGGTGGGTGGTAGGTGTGTGTAGTGGTGGGTGGTAGGTGTGTGCAGGGGGCAGTGGTGGGTGGTAGGTGTGTGTAGTGGTGGGTGGTAGGTGTGTGCAGGGGGGCAGTGGTGGGTGGTAGGTGTGTGTAGTGGTGGCTGGTAGGTGTGTGCAGGGGGCAGTGGTGGGTGGTAGGTGTGTGCAGGGGGCAGTGGTGGGTGGTAGGTGTGTGTAGTGGTGGGTGGTAGGTGTGTGCGGGGGGGCAGTGGTGGGTGTGGACGCTGGTGAAGGTCTTGCCTGCAGGCTGTAGAGAGTCTGAATCAGGGTCTGGATTCTCTCCTGCAGCAGAAACAGCAGTGAATTAAACTGTGTTCACACTAATCAGAAACACTGTAACTGCAGTCTGTGTCTCTGATGTTCAGACTGAAACCATAAACATTTACAGAACCCATAAAGAACCGTACTGAATGTGACACACAGAGAACAGCACAGACAGTAAAGTGAGGATTTTTATTCTGGTCAGTGAATCTTTATTACCTGTAAGTGAATCTGGACGGGGAATCCTGCGGTCACTAAAACAGCGTCCATCTGCTTTATGGGACAGATCACGCTGGGCAGTCCCTCAGCTATCAAAAACAGATTTATATTATTAAACGTGTAACTTTTTAAAACTGTTATTCTGAAAGTTTTACAAATTAATAACATTAGTAATATTATAATCTGTTCTGATGGAGCTGTAGATCCACTGACCGTCCAGATTAAAGTCACAGTGAGGAGAAAACCACGGAGTCAGAGTGACCATCAGATTAACCACTGATACAGAGAGAGAGGGATAAGCTCATTGTTATTTTCAGTAGAGTATATATGTTGTGTGTATATGTGTGTTTGTGTATGTGTGTGTGTATATATATATGTGTGTGTGTATATGTGTGTGTGTGTGTATGTGTGTGTGTGTGTGGGTGTGTGTGTGTGTGTCATTTACCCTCTCTCTGGGCATCCTGCAGTAGAGTGAGTTGCTGCGGTGTGTGTGTGTCTGTATTTATGTGTGTGTGTGTGTGTGTGTGTGTGTATATATGTGTGTGTGTGTGTATGTGTGTGTGTGTGTGTATATATGTGTGTGTGTGTATGCATGTGTGTGTGTGTGTGTGTGTATATATGTGTGTGTGTGTGTGTGTGTGGTGTCTGTATTTGTGTGTGTGTGTGTGTGTGTGTGTATATATATGTGTGTGTGTGTGTATGTGTGTGTGTGTGTGTATGCTGTGTGTGTGTGTGTGTGTGTATATATGTGTGTGTGTGTGTGTGTGTGTCTGTATTTGTGTGTGTGTGTGTATGCATGTGTGTGTGTGTGTGTGTATATATGTGTGTGTGTGTGTGTGTGTGTGTAATATGTGTGTGTGTATGCATGTGTGTGTGTGTGTGTGTGTATATATGTGTGTGTGTGTGTGTATATATGTGTGTGTGTGTGTGTGTGTGTGTATATGTGTGTGTGTGTATATGTGTGTGTGTGTGTATATGTGTGTGTGTGTGTGTGTGTATATGTGTGTGTGTGTATATATGTGTGTGTGTGTGTGTGTGTGTGTATATGTGTGTGTGTGTGTGTGTGTATATGTGTGTGTGTGTATATATGTGTGTGTGTGTGTGTGTGTATATATGTGTGTGTGTGTGTGTATATGTGTGTGTGTGTGTATATGTGTGTGTGTGTGTATATATGTGTGTGTGTGTATGCATGTGTGTGTGTGTGAATGTGTGTGTGTATATATGTGTGTGTGTATATGTGTGTGTGTGTGTGTGAATGTGTGTGTGTGTGTGTGTATATATGTGTGTGTGTGTGTATGTGTGTGTGGGTGTGTGTGTGTGTGTGAATGTGTGTGTGTGTGTGTGTGTATATATGTGTGTGTGTGTGTATGTGTGTGTTTACCCTCTCTCTGGGCGTCCTGCAGTAGAGTGAGTCCCTGCGGTGTGTGTGTGTGTGTGTGGAGTGTGTAGTGATGTGGCTGAATGAGCAGATGAAGGGAACTCACACTCCGCCCACCAGCGCACACACACACACACAGCTTCTCATCCAGAGCCGCACACACCTGCAGATCCACAGAAAACACAGCCTCTACACACACACACACACACACACACACACACACACACACACACACACACAATTTACAGTGAGAGTTCAGAAACGTGTCTGATTTCCTCAGTTTCCCCCATTTCAAATGTAGCTGATCAGCTGACTCGAGTTCGGAGTCTGAAGTTTTGCTTCTTTGGCTACGAGGCTAATGTAGCTAACAAGAAATGGAAGCTTATACTCCACCGATTAGCATGATGCTAACTGACCAAACCATCTCACATTCGGCTAAAACTGTGGAGTGGAGCTGTTCAGTGATCTGTAACGCACTTACTGTTCACTGTAAACCTGGACTAACGCAGCAACAGCAGCTGCACTGAAAATAGTCTCTTAGCAGGAGAAACGATCTGATATTTAGCTGACATGTGGAATATATTTTATTTTGAGACTGTCGTAAGTATAAGATTATTTAGGTTTTTTCAGTGTGTTCTGAATCCTGGGTAAATAAATTCTCTCACTGCTGTTGCAGTGTTTGTGTATCAGATTTATTGTTTACCTTGTAGTTTCTGAATTTTCTTCATTTTCTTCTCCTCATTACTCTTCAGCTCCCCGTCAGCGCCGTCAGACAAACTGAAAAACAAATACAAACAAATCAGATTACAGCACTGTAAATAAAAACGTGTAAATCAGATTAGGGCACTGTAAATAAAAACACAGTGTGACTCATGTTAGAGCACTGTAAATAAAAACAGAGTAAATGAGATTAGACAACTGTAAATAAAAGCAGTTTTTAGTCAGATTAAAGCACTGTAAATAAAAACAGTTTAAATCAGATTAAAGCACTGTAAATAAAAACAGTTTAAATCAGATTAAAGCACTGTAAACAAAAACAGTTTAAATCAGATTAGAGCACTATAAATAAAAAACAGTTTAAATCAGTTTAGAGCATTGTTAATAAAAACAAATTGTAAATCAGATTAGAGCACTGTTAACAAAAATGCTTTAAATAAGAAAAAAGCACTGTAAATAAAAGTGTAAATGAGATTAGAGCACTGTAAATAAAAACAGTGTAAATCAGATTAGAAGACTGTAAATAAAAAAGTGTAAATCATATTAGAGCACTGAAAATACAAACACAGTGTAAGTCAGATTAGAACGTTGTAAATAAAAACACAGCGTAAATCAGATTAGAGCACTGTAAATAAAAACACTTTAAATCAGATTAGAGCACTGAACATTAAAAAGTGTAAATCAGATTAGAGCACTGTAAATAAAAACACAGCATAAACCAGATTACAGCACTGTAATTAGAAACACTTTAAATCAGATTAGAGCACTATAAATAAAAAAGTGTAAATCAGATTAGAGCACTGTAAATAAAAACACAGTGTAAATCAGATTAGAGCACTGTATAAAAAACTCTTCAAATCAGATTAGAGCAATGCAACCAAAAAAGTGTAAATCAGATTAGAGCACTGTAAATGAAAACACTTTAAATTAGATTAGAGCACTGTAAATAAAAAAGAATAAATCAGATTAAAGCACAGTAAATAAAACATAGTAATTAGAGTACTGTAAATCTTAAAAAGGGTTTTAAATAAAATAACAAAAATGGTTATGCAGGATTTGCTGTTTCTGCAGCTCAGATTAACAGTTGCATTGTGTGATCTGAGTCAGTGCAGCGACAGAGTTTCTGATCTAATATATTTGATCTGATTTAATTTTCTGGGTTCAGGTCAGAGAGGCTTGATTTGATTACAGAAAACAGAAACAGGCCATTGATTTCCCAAAACCATCAGAACCTTCAAAAGAGTGATCAGTGAGGGAGAGTGATCAGTGAGAGGAGAGTGATCAGAGAGAGGAGAGTGATCAGTGAGGGGAGAGTAATCAGTGAGAGGAGAGTGATCAGTGAGGGGAGAGTGATCAGTGAGGGGAGAGTGGTCAGCAAGGGAGAGTGATCAGTGAGGGAGAGTGATCAGAGAGAGGAGAGTGATCAGTGAGGGGAGAGTGATCAGAGAGAGGAGAGTGATCAGTGAGGGAGAGTGATCAGAGAGAGGAGAGTGATCAGTGAGGGGAGAGTGATCAGAGAGAGGAGAGTGATCAGTGAGGGGAGAGTGATCAGAGAGAGGAGAGTGATCAGAGAGAGGAGAGTGATCAGTGAGGGAGAGTGAACAGAGAGCGGAGAGTGATCAGTGAGGGGAGAGTGATCAGAGAGAGGAGAGTGAACAGAGAGAGGAGAGTGATCAGTGAAGGAGAGTGATCAGTGAGGGAGAGTGATCAGTGAGAAGGAGAGTGATCAGTGTGGGAGAGTGATCAGTGAGAGGAGAGTGATCAGTGAGGGAGAGTGATCAGTGAGAGGGGAGTGGTCAGTGAAGGAGAGTGATCAGTGAAGGAGAGTGATCAGTGAGGGGAGAGTGAAGGGAGACGTGGGTGGTCTCTCTTTGTCTGACCTGTAGGTGGTCTCTCTGACCTGTGGGTGGTCTGCTGCAGGTGTGTTATCCAGGTGTTACGCTCCTCACGAGTGTTTGTGTGAATCTCGTACATCTCCGGTCCGGCGGAGGAGTCACTACTGATCAGGAACAATCCTCTCTCCTGATTGGCTATTTCTCTCCAGATCAGACCCTTTAATGGAACTACAGCAGACTTCTGTTCCTACACACACACACACACACACACACACACACACACACACACACACACGCACAGCAATAACAATGGCAGCACGTTTACACTAAAAAACACAGAAACGACTCAGTGAAGCTGGTCTGATTATAATATGATATTAATGTAAACGTTGTAAACTTGTAAAGCCGTGAGCTCATTAATGACGAGGGCTTTGATCAGGTTTAGACATTTTCTGGATGTATTTACAGAAAAGATTCGGGTGACTATTGACTTCTAGAGTTTGTTAGCAACATTAACCTCGTAGCTCTAGCACTAAAATAAAGAAGCAGAATTTGGACACTGAACCCGTCTGAGCTGACAGAGTCTGGAGGAAGCGGAGAAGCGGAGAACCTGAGAATGTTCACTCTGAACTATCACTTTAATGTGTGTGTGATTCGGTACCAGAGCAGCAAATGTGAACTTCTGTTCTTTCTCCTGAAGAAACACCAGAACATCTGAGAGAAGAAGAGCAAGAACTTCTGCAGAGAGAGAGACACACGAGAGAGAGAGAGAGAGAGAGAGAGAGAGAGACACACAGAGAGAGAGAGAGAGAGAGAGAGAGAGAGAGAGACACACAGAGAGAGAGAGAGAGAGAGAGAGAGAGAGAGAGAGAGAGAGAGATTGATAAAAGTTAGATCAGACTAGATATTCTAGCAGAACAGTACAGTACACTTAACTAGTACAGTATGGCAAGAGCATGTTTGTGTTCACAGGGAATATGTTCTCAGGATCTGATGTTCTCAGGGTTCCATGTCCCTAGGGTTCTATGTTCCTGGACCCTATATTTCACAGTTCTGTATTCCCAGATCTGTGTTCTCAGACTCTCGTGTTCTTAGGATCTGTGGACCCAGAGCCCTATGTTCCCAGGTTTCTGTGTTCTCAGGGTCCTGTTTTCTCTGGGTCTATGTTCTCAGGTCCTATGGTCTCAGGGTCCAGTGTTCTCTGGGCCCTATGTTTCCAGGGTTCTATGTTCTCTGAGTCTTGTGTTCTCAGGGACTGTGGACCTAGAGCCCTTTGTGTTCTCAGGGTTCTATGTTCTCTGGGACCTATATTCTTTTGGTTAATGTTTTTAGGGCCCTATGTTCTCAGGGTTCTATGTTTTCAGGATCCTATGTTCTCAGGGTCCATACCTCTGAGTCTGCCGGAGGTGGTTCTGCAGGTGAGCGTTGCGGAGTGTGTGAGTGTGTGTGTGGTGTGTGTGAGTGTGTGTTTGCTGTAGATTTCTCCGCTCTTCAGTCGAGTGCAGCTCTTCGGGTCCAGCCGGCCAATGATGTCATCCAGCTTCTGCGCCCGCTGGACCTTAGACACGTGCAGCTCGACCCCCGCTAACACCCCCCTCAGACCCTCCAGTGCCGCAGCAATGTCACGCTGCTCCACAGTGCCCTCTACAGACAAACCACAGCATTAACAGACACAAGATAGTAAAACATATTAGCCTGAGATTCAGATTGTCTGTTACAAATAACAATCGGCTGAAAACTGATGGTTCTCTCTGTGGTATCCAGATAGATACAGCTGAGCTGCTCTCCTATTGGTTAGGACTTAAGGAGCTGGACTGAAGGTTTCACACATTAGATTAACTAGCAACATAATTAGGAAGTGACAGAGGAACCAACCAATCACACTCTGATTTACAGTCCTTTTTTAGATGCCCCGTTGACAAAAATATCTTCTGTTTAATCATGCTGTGTTGGCGCTCCTTTGTTTGTCATTACCTGCCTTTTCACATCAGGGCCTCATAGATGGACCTGCCAGCGTCCACAATCACCAGCATGTGGCGCAGTGATGCCACTCGCAGTTTCGATCCCTGACTCAGCCGGAGCACCTCAATCACTCTGACTTCACTCTCACTGTGTTCAGCTTTTTTCCTCTCAGCACATTTACACTACACTTCCAACCCTGTTTGTATGTAATAAGAACAGGTTCCTGCACACTGACCTTGGGTTCTCCCTCTGTACCAAACCTGTAAGTATCAAGGCAGTCTAATCTGTTTTTTTTTTTACCTGTTAATCCTATAAATTACCACCACTGCACCAGTGCTAATATCTGCAGTCTATGGGGTTTTCAGTGATACGTTAGCATCAAACTAACAACTGTGAATATTAATTTTTCCACACTGGGTTTAATATCATTCCACTGAAGCACAGTGGACATTCTGTCCATCTCTGTTTTCATTCTGGTTTCTCTCTGTTTGTGTTTTTGTGCTGAGACTGTAAGAAAAGTTTGGGAATTGTGCAAAGGAGTGTGTGTGTGTGTGTGTGTGTGTGTGTGTGTGTGTTTGTTCAGTGTTACTGTAATGAGGCTAAAGGGCTGTGTTTGGGTCACAGTGAAGTTAAAGAGTGAAGAGCAGTTTTACTGTCTGCTTTTTGAGTCGTAGCGTTCACTCGCTCATCTGCACACTGAGTGTGTGTGTGTGTGTTACCGTCAGTGCAGTGCAGCAGTCGTTCCAGCAGGACGGGGTATTTAGTGATCCTCTGAGTGATCAGCAGCAGGAATTCTGGGATTTCTCTCCGCTTAATGACAGAATTGCTGCTCTGCTGCTGCAGAAAACAAACACACACAGCAGCTTCATCACCGCTCAGTTACCAGCAGCAGCCTGAACACAGAGCGGTTAGTTTAAAATGTTGTTACAAATAAAACCCCAAAGTAAACAGTGAGAGAATCCCCCCATATTCACTGAGGTTTTTTCACAGATTGATTAATAATGCTGTAGATGTCAGGTAAGTATAATATTTCAGGTGTTGGTTCTACTTTGTGATCTAAAACAAACACTGAAACATTTACACTACGTTTATCTCCAAACAGCTTTTATTAATTCTTCAGTGAAATGATGTTGATTAACTCACTCTGATGAACAGCTGCAGCTTCCGGTTGTTTTGCTGAAGCTGTTTGTAAATTCTGAGAGCGTCGGAGTGTTTACTGCAGAAATCTCCATACAGCTCCATCACCTGATCTCCTACACACCCACAGAACTACACACACACACAATAGAAACGCACACAATGCAGACAATACACACAATACACACACAGGGCATAGGGCATACACACACACACACACCATATATACACACACACATCATATACACACACACGCACATCATATATACACACACACATCATATACACACACACGCACATCATATATACACACACACACATAACATACACACACACTCTTAGAAAATGTGTTATTTTAAATAAATGAATAACTATTGAATATTCAAAATTAAAGTGCATTACTGAGTGTTTAAGCCCCGCCCACCTGCTGCAGTAGAACATCCCCGATTCGCTGAATGATGTAGTTTCTGTAGTTTATGCAGTTCTCTGCAGAGCTGGAGCTCCACCTCCTCGTCTCCATAGCAGCTAGGAAGTTTCTGTGGAGCGTGATGAGGTCGTCCAGACTGGGGAAAATTTGACCAATCACGTCCTCCTCCAGCTGCACTTCCTCCAGTAAGCCCCGCCTCAAGACCTCCGCCATCACCATCAGCGTCTGCACGTGATGAAACTCTGTCTGCATCAGCTCTGCAGGTCAAAGGTCGATATCAATAAAGAGAGAGCAACACTCGATCAGAACGTTTTTAATCAAAACTACTTACAACAGATTTAATTTATCAGAAATATTCATCATTCGCAAATCCAGAAACCGATCAACAACACAATGATAACAACAGTAAACAAACGAACAGTGCTGATTAACAAAAAAAATGTATAATAAAAAAATTCACAGCGAATTCATAAAAATACGACTTTATACTTTAATCATCAGTTTTCCCAGAAGCCAGTAAGTGAGATTTCCTCCAGTGTTTGCTGACCAGTACAGAATTTTTATGTTGTTTTGTGCAGGTGTGTTTTTGTTGTAGCTCCGTTTTAAAAATCTCCTGCACGTCACACAGAAACACTGACCTGTGATTGGCCATTTTACATGTCAATCAAACGGCCCTTTCCTGTGAAAGAACGTGGCTCACACACTCTGAGAACAGGCAGACGTCTGGCTTAGTACGTAAAAACTGACCATAGATAACCTCCTGCCTCTTGACCACTCCTCTGTCCAGCGTGTTCAGAAACTCGGCGTCCACCAAAGCGCTCCAGGATTCTGCTGTGTAGTCCAGCGGGGCAGGAGCTGGAGAACGACAACAAAAACAGAAAATCTCTGAATTCATACATTTTGAATTGTTAAAAAAAATCACTCTTAACAACAACCTTACAAACATTAACACGATTCAGCAGGAAATGACCAACACTGCTCCATTCAGCTTCTACAGGACTCAGCTCTGGACACTGAGCAGGTCAGTGTGGTCACTTTCCGTCTTACATAACACTGAGTCTGCTTGTTTCAGGGGAGTCCAGACTGACCCATAGGGCACCAACATGGCTGCAGGTCTTCATTCCAGTCAAGCAGGAGAACCTGATCAACTGAGAACAGCTGATTAAACAAGCAGAACCAGGAGAATGTCTGCTTTAATGGAACAACGATCTGCAGTGAGTCTCTCAGTGAGTCTCAGTGAGTCTCAGTGAGTCAGAGTGAGTCTCAGTGAGTCAGAGTGAGTCTCAGTGAGCCAGAGTGAGTCTCAGTGAGTCTCAGTGAGTCAGAGTGAGTCTCAGTGAGTCTCTGTGAGTCTCACTGAGTCTCAGTGAGTCACACATGTATGACATTAACACACTGAACAGACCAGACAAACACAGACAAATAACAAGGATTAAACTAAGAGACAAATAAAATAGAAATACAATACAATAAAGATTAGAGTAAAAATAAGAATAAGAGTAGATTCTGATCAGTGATCATCAGACCTGCAGCAGGGCGGCTGTTTATTATACACAGACATAAACGCTCTGATATATGATTCATGTTTGTATATAATTAGCAAATTTATGGTATTTTGTCCTGACCTGAGCTCTGGGTCAACGGGCGGGAAGTGGAATCTCCAATCACAGACCAGGATTTCCTCACAGTGACCTCATGACCACACCCCTCACTGTTACTGCGCCTTCTACACACACACACACACACACACACACACACACACACAAATGACTAATTACTTATCTCAAACTGTAATGGGGTTACTTTACAATTTGTAAATAAAGTGCAGATGTTAGCTGCTTGTGAATCATGTGTAACTGTTACAGAGCTGATTGATAGTGAATAAAGTGTAAATGTTACAGTGCTGATAGTGAATAAAGTGTAAATGTCACAGAGCTGATAGTGAATAAAGTGTAAATGCCACAGAGCTGATAGTGAATAAAGTGTAAATGTCACAGAGCTGATAGTGAATAAAGTGTAAATGTCACAGAGCTGATAGTGAATAAAGTGTAAATGCCACAGAGCTGATAGTGAATAAAGTCTAAATGCTACAGAGCTGATAGTGAATAAAGTGTAAATGCTACAGAGCTGATAGTGAATAACATGTAAATGTTACAGAGCTGATAGTGAATAAAGTGTAAATGTTACAGAGCTGATAGTGAATAAAGTGTAAATGCTACAGAGCTGATAGTGAATAACATGTAAATGCTACAGAGCTGATAGTGAATAAAGTGTAAATGCTACAGAGCTGATAGTGAATAACATGTAAATGTCACAGAGCTGATAGTGAATAAAGTGTGAATGCTACAGAGCTGATAGTGAATAAAGTGTAAATGCTACAGAGCTGATAGTGAATAAAGTGTAAATGCCACAGAGCTGATAGTGAATAAAGTGTAAATGCTACAGAGCTGATAGTGAATAAAGTGTAAATGCTACAGAGCTGATAGTGAATAACATGTAAATGTTACAGAGCTGATAGTGAATAAAGTGTAAATGCTACAGAGCTGATAGTGAATAAAGTGTAAATGCTACAGAGCTGATAGTGAATAAAGTGTAAATGTCACAGAGCTGATAGTGAATAAAGTGTAAATGTCACAGAGCTGATAGTGAATAAAGTGTAAATGTCACAGAGCTACTGAGCGATCTTTATTGTATGTTTATCATATTTACGCATAATGAATATCGAACCCTTTCTCTCACAGGAGGCCACCAAGGTGCTTGTTCAGTCTTTGGTCATCTCAAAGCTTGACCACTGCAACTCACTTCTGATTGGTCTTCCTATGAGGACCATCAGGACCTCCAGCTAACCCAGACTGCAGCAGCACGGCTCGTCTTCAGTCTTCCTAAGTTCAGTCACGTCACTCCACTGCTGCGCTCCCTTCACTCACTTCCTGTGGCTGCATCAGATTAAAACTCTGATGTCTACAAAGCCAAAACTGGACCAGCCCCTCCCGACCTGATGGCAGTGGTCTTTCGAGCTTCAAGTCCAGCTCGGCTATCAGGGCTCTTCTCTGTCCTGGAGCCCAGGTGGTGGAAGGAATCGCTCTCTCGTCTTCAAACTCAGACTGAAGACTGTCTCTCTGTACAGCTCTTAACTGAGCACTAATCTAAGTGCTTTCTGAACTGTACTGTAAGGCACTCCTGCTGTGTTTGATCTGTATCTTTCTGTATTTTCAGCTCTGGCCGAGTCTGAGCTGAAAGGCAGTTCTAGCTAGGAGACGTTCTCCGAGTGGATAACAAAGCACTTTTATAAGTCACTCTGGATAAGAGCGTCTGATAAACGCTGTAACACACACACGCTACCCAGTACACATACCCACACACACGCTACCCAGTACACATACCCACACACACGCTACCCAGTACACATACCCACACACACACTACCCAGTACACATACCCACACACATGCTACCCAGTACACATACCCACACACACACTACCCAGTACACATACCCACACACACAGGCACACTCACACGCACATACCTGCGAGTCTCAGTATTGTTGTGACTGACGAATAGAGCCGGAGAACTCTGGCTCGAGGAATCTGAAACACACACACACACACAAACACACACACACACTCACTATATATATATATATATATATATATATATGTACAGCTCTGTATGTTTGTTTTTATGGTTTAATCCTGATTGTTGTAGTTTTTTGTTATGTGTTTATTGTTTATAGATCTTTGTATCCTCATCATATCCATCCTGTTCTCAATAAAGCCTCTAACTCAGTAAATGCGTCCTGTCTGCTCACCTGCAGCACTGATCATAACTTACTTACATTTACATTTAATGTAAGTAACATGTACATTTAGTTTCTGTTTTTAACTCAATGATATACAGTTTTAATATCTGACCTGCCAATCAGTAAATCAGGTAAATCAATTATTCAGAATCAAATTAAAGCCTAATTTACCGTGTTACTGACATTAATATAAAACATTCATATAAAAAGTAAACAGGGCATGTTTATAATGTGATCCTGCATCTGCTGCTTTTGAGTCACATGGTTAGAACAGAACGGTGCGATTGGTCACTCACACAGCAGGATAGGACAGTTGTTGAAAGCCTTTAGCTGCTGAGGGTTCTGGGTAAAAGCAAAAATGTATAAATAAAAATAAACTTAGAGTTCAGTAAAACCAACAAGAGAACCAATTGTATAATTAATATATATCTAATATATATTTCATTATATTTATTATAAAACATACTATATGTTTATAAAACTCACCCTCCAGCTCACGGACGCAGAGTCAGAGCGAAACTCAGAGAAACCTGAGAACACAATATACACACATATACACACTACACTATTACTACACACACACGACACTAATACACACATTATTACACGCACACTCAAACACACACAGTCAGGTGTTGTGAATACGAGTCCTCACCTGAGTCCTGAGGAAGCCTCTCTGTGTGAGGTGTTTCACACACCTGTCCAAGCAGATGCTCAGGTGAGTGCTGCTCCTGATCAGCCTGCAGGTGAGGGTGGAGTTACGCTCACTCTCTGAACTCTGTCTGAACTCTCTCACTGGATTCTCTCCAAATCCTCGGAATTTTCATACATGTCTCTGATTTCTCTGAATTCTGCCCAACTTACCTAAAATCTCTGAATTCTCTATATTTTGTCCTAATTTTCTCTAAATTCCTTGAATTGTCACTGAATTCTCTAAATTTTTTGGATTATATCTGAAATCAATCAATCAGCCTTCATTTAAACTACACTGAGAGTGACCCTCGTTTACAGTGCATCCGAGAACTATACACAAAACAAAGATTAAAAAGAGCAAATATAAATTTTGAACAGCAAAACTACAGCAAAAATATGAGTCTACGTTTATGTAGAGCTGACTGTAAAGCATCAAAAGAGTGCTTTGGTTTTTCACAGCTGCCTGTACAAAACCAGCAGAGCCGAATCAAACGGTCACACAGGTGCACTTCACAGTCTGAGATGTGTCACGCATCCCTCCGGCTCTGAGGCGCACTCAGACTCCATTTCCCAGAATCCTCTAGGAGATCACATGACCCAAGTGACTCCTGATCTTTCTTCTAATTCTGTTAGTACTAATTCTGTTCACCTGTGTTGTCTGTCATTTGACCATAGTAGTTTAGTTTATAAGCCAGGGCTTTAGCGTAGCCTAGTCGTGAGGTATTGTATGTATACAGAAGTACTGAGGGTTCTGTTGTGCATGTAATTCCTGTTTATGACTGTTTTGCCTGTTTCTTTGACTCTGCCTTTTTTGCCTGACCCTTTTGGATTGTTTGCCTTCTGTTATGTTCATATTTTTGTACTGGCTGTCTTTTCTGGATTTGACCCATGCCTGTTTTCTGACCAGAGTCTTTCTGGCACGTTATAAGATGGAGGCGGGAAAATCACTGATGTACATGCTGAATTTTATCTGAATTCTCTTGAATCTAAGAATTCTCTGAATTCTGTCAGCATTTATCTGAAATCTCTCAGATTTCTGAATCTCCTTGAATTCTCTTAATTCTCTCCAAATTTGCCCTGAATTTTTTCAGAACTCTCTGAATCTACAAGATTACCTAGAGAATTCAGAGAATTCATGAAACCTCTGAACTCTCTTAGAATCCCTGTCGTTTCTGAATTCCCTGAATCTCTCCAAATTCTCCAAATTCTTTCTGAATCCAAATCTGAATCTTTATTTGTCAAGTACCAGCGGTACAAGGAATTCTCTTGGTGCAGGTGTCAAAATCAAATCCAATAAAATTTCTCCAAATTCTCTCTGAATTTTCAGAGTTTTCTGAATTCTGTTCCACTAAACAGGAAGAGGAGAATGTCTGAAGGTCTGGATCTGAGTGTGTACGACTCACCTGGATGTTGGTGTTGCTGCCCGCTCGTCTCTGCAGGACGCTCGGAGTCCGGCACTTTTCCGTTTCTGTGTCAGATGAAGAGATGAGTTTATTTTTCTCTTCCTCTGCAGTCGGTTCTCCATCACTGCTCTTCTTACTGTCACAGGAAACACTTTAGATTAGATTACAACCTCATTATTTCTCTGTGTGCGTGTGCGTGTGTGCGTGTGTGTGTGTGTGCGTGTGTGTGCGTGTGTGTGTGTGCGTGTGCGTGTGTGCGTGCGTGCGTGAGCGTGAGTTTGTGTGTGTGGAGGGGGTGTGTGTGTAGTGTGAGTGTAGTGAGCGTGAGTTTGTGCGTGCGTGTGCGTGTGTGTGTGCGTGTGCGTGTTTCAGTTTTTGTGTGTGTGTGTGCGTGTGCGCGTGTGTGCATGTGTGCGTGTGTGCGTGTGCGTGTCAGACAGAAAGTGATCATACCTTTCGCTGGCCGTCTCTGTGTCTTCAGGATCTGGTGAAGACAGTTTTTAGACTTTAGAATTTAATAAATTCAGTTTAAAATGTAAAAAACAGATACAGAAACACATCACAGTGTGGAGAGTCTGAGAGACACAGCTCTAAACCTAAACTCTGATCTGTAAACCCTAAACCACAGAGACAAACCGCACAACACCTACACACACACACACACACACACACACACACACACACACACACACACACAAACTCACGCTCACTACACTCACACTACACACACACACCCCTCACACAAACTCACGCTCACTACACTCACACTACACACACACACCCTCCACACACACACACAAACTCACACTCACTACACTCACACTACACACACACACCCCTCACACAAACTCACCTTCACTACACTCACACTACACACACACCCCCTCCACACACACACACACACACACAAACTCACACTCACTACACTCACACTACACACACACACACAAACTCACGCTCACTACACTCACACTACACACACACACCCCTCACACACACACAAACTCACGCTCACTACACTCACACTACACACACACCCCCTCCACACACACACACACACAACTCACGCTCACTACACTCACACTACACCCACACACCCCTCACACACACACAAACTCACGCTCACTACACTCACACTACACACACACACACAAACTCACGCTCACTACACTCACACTACACACACACCCCCTCCACACACACACACACAAACTCACGCTCACTACACTCACACTACACACACACACCCCTCACACACACACAAACTCACGCTCACTACACTCACACTACACACACACACCCCTCACACACACACAAACTCACGCTCACTACACTCACACTACACACACACACCCCTCACACACACACAAACTCACGCTCACTACACTCACACTACACACACACCCCCTCCACACACACACACAAACTCACGCTCACTACACTCACACTACACACACACACCCCTCACACACACACACAAACTCACGCTCACTACACACACACCCCTCACACACCCCTCCACACACACTACACACACCCCTCCACACACACACAAACTCACGCTCACTACACACACACCCCTCACACACCCCTCACACACCCCACACACACACACAAACTCACGCTCACTACACACACACCCCTCACACACCCCACACACACACACAAACTCACGCTCACTAAACACACACCCCTCACACACACACACACTACACACACTCACAGTATTCATAAACATACACTCACTCACCTGTTGCATTGTGGGTCAGTAGAGCCCATTGGCTGCTGGGAGATGAGTTGTGTTTGAAGTGAGGCTGCTGAAGGAAAATGAGTAAAATCCTCAAATTAAACTCTAATATTTTTAAATTCAGGGGTTTTAATAAAATTCTCTTTTTTTCAGCAGAGAACGTTTTCACAGCCCGACTGTGAATCAAGCCGACTGTACTGACACATCCTTTTAAAACAAAACTATTAATATTATAAAACTAACCTATATACGCTAATAAACCTCTCTTGATTGCATTGAGATATTCTGTAATTTATTGTATTAATCTTATAACTGTTTTGTTGCGAAACGCATTATAGACTATAATACATTTTCTTTCTTTGTGACATTTGTTGTGAGTGGTCTATACTCATACGATAAATATCAGTGGTATATTATCATTAATAAAAATTAAAAAAATAACTTAATTATGCATCAGCTATTCTTTCCAAAACCTCGTTATAGCCAGAATTGTTACAAATGCATCAAGCAGCATTTTTCTGTGAAACTCCTGAATTCCAGCTCACCTCATCTTCACGTCTGCTTCTCAGTTCTGTTTCTAAACTCTGGCTGAGAAACGCAGGAGAACCGACGCAGTTCAGCTGATTTTCTGATCCGCCTGTAATAATTAAATATACAGTAAAATATACAGCACTGTGCTCGGTGCACAAAACACCTTACAGTTTTCCTTCAGTTTGAACTGAATGAGATCTGCTTTAGTGAAGAAGATTCTCTACAGGAGCTGAGTGACCCGCTCAGACGTTTCTGTCAGTGACGCAAAACTCAGAGGGCTTTACCACAGTGACGGACGCTTTACTGCAGTGATTGATGCTTTACTGCAGTGACTGACGCTTTACTGCCGTGACTGACGCTTTACTGCAGTGACTGACGCTTTACCGCAGTGAGTGACGTTTTACTGCAGTGAGTGACGCTTTACCACAGTGACGGACGCTTTACCGCAGTGACTGACGCTTTACTGCAGTGACTGACGCTTTACCGCAGTGACTGACGCTTTACTGCCGTGACTGACGCTTTACTGCAGTGACTGACGCTTTACCGCAGTGAGTGACGTTTTACTGCAGTGAGTGACGCTTTACCACAGTGACGGACGCTTTACCGCAGTGACTGACGCTTTACTGCAGTGACTGACGCTTTACCGCAGTGACTGACGTTTTACTGCAGTGACTGACGCTTTACCACAGTGACGGACGCTTTACCGGAGTGACTGACGCTTTACCGCAGTGACTGGCGCTTTACTGCAGTGACTGACGCTTTACCGCAGTGACTGACGCTTTACTGCAGTGACTGCTGTTTTACCGCAGTGACTGGCGCTTTACCGCAGCGACTGACGCTTTACTGCAGTGACTGACGCTTTACTGCAGTGACGGACGCTTTACCGCAGTGACTGACACTTTACTGCAGTGACTGACGCTTTACCGCAGTGACGGACGCTTAACTGCAGTGATTGATGGTTTACCGCAGTGACTGATGCTTTACTGCAGTGACTGAAGCTTTACTGCAGTGACTGATGCTTTACCGTAGTGACCGACACTTTACCGCAGTGACTGACGCTTTACTGTAGTGACTAACGCTTTACCACAGTGACTGACGCTTTACTGCAGTGACTGACGCTTCACCGCAATGAGTGATGCTTTACCACAGTGACTCACGCTTTACGGCAGTGACTCACGCTTTACGGCAGTGACTGACGCTTTACAGTAGTGACCGACGCTTTACTGCAGTGACTGGCGCTTCACCGCAGTGACTGATGCTTTACTGCAGTGAGTGATGCTTTACTGCAGTGACTGACGCTTTACAGCAGTGGCTGACGCTTTACTGCAGTGACTCACGCTTTACAGCAGTGACTGGCGCTTTACCGCAGTGACTGACGCTTTACGGTAGTGACCGACGCTTTACTGCAGTGACGGACGCTTTACTGCAGTGAGTGATGCTTTACTGCAGTGGCTGATGCTTTACTACAGTGACTGACATCAGCGTTCTTTCACTATCGGAACTTACGATCCGCAGAAAACCGACAGAATTTTCCTCTTAAAACCCACTTACACAGTTTTCATGAAGATTCTGAGCGACGTTGTTATTTGGGATTCTCTCTAAATTCTCCTCTTCAAATTACAGCTGAGGAACTTTCTGCCACGTCTGAGCGGTTATTTAAGGGAAAATTGATCACTGGGGAAACGTAAAGGTGTGTGATAGTGTGATAGATCATTGATAGCCTGAGAGGCGTTGGTGCAACACACTTAACCTTAAACACTTAAGTGTAATCTTAAAAGAAAATTCAGCTGAAGGTGTTTGATGCAGATGATGAAACGTTTAAAAGGTGTGATTCTCATGTCTGAAACTGAAATGTATCAGCAAAAAGCAAAACTGTAGAGCTGTAAAGACAAAACTTTCCTGAGTTTATGGGTAATAATAGTTCTTCATCATCATCATCACCACCAACACCATCATCATCATCATCATCACTGGAACTGCTGAACTTCTGATGAAAAAAAGAAAAGCATTACCATTAGAATGTTGTAATTGTTAAAAGGTCTGTAATTATTATTCATTTTTACCTCTTAAACTCAGGTTTTGAAAGCATAAATTGACATCAATAATGAATATTAACAAATTACAACAACAATAATAATAATAATAATAATAATAATAATAATAATAGAAATGTTGCCCTTAGCAAGAAAGTTCTACAGCTCACTTTGTCTGATAGAACATCATTCATCACATTCTCTGCATTTTCATCACAAACACAAACCATCATCATCAACATCATCATCATCATCATCATCATCATCATCACTGTCACATTCACCACCACCACCATCATCATCATCACTGTTACACTCATCATCATCATCATCACTGTCACATTCACCACCACCACCATCATCATCATCACTGTTACACTCATCATCATCATCATCATCATCATTACTGTCACATTCACCACCACCACCATCATCATCATCACTGTCACACTCATCATCATCATCATCATCATCACTGTCACATTCACCACCACCGCCACCATCATCATCGCTGATGATGATCATGATGATCATGATGACTAAGATGGTGATGATGATGGTGAGTGTTTGTAATGATTTTGATGGTGAAGGAGATGATGGAGATGGAGATGATGGAGATGGAGATGGTGAAGATGATGATGGAGATGATTATGATGAAGATGATGGAGATGGTGAAGATGATGATGGTGATGATGATCATGATGATGTTGATGGTGATGTTGATGGTGAAGATGATGATGATGATGATGATGATGATGCTAATGATGATGATCATGAAGATGATCATGACGATTGAGATGGTGATGATGCTGATCATATTGAGGGATTGTAATGATAATGATGGTGAAGGAGATGATGATGATGATGATGATGATGATGATGGTGATGGAGATTGAGATGGTGATGATGGTGAAGATAATCATGGAGATGATGATGATGGTGATGATGATGGTGAAGATGATGGTGAAAATGATGATGACATTGATTGTGATGATAATGAAGATGATGATGATCATGATTATGATCATCATGATGATTGAGATGGTGATAATGGGGATGATGATGGAGATGGTGATGACGAAGACGATGATGATGATGATGATAGAGATGGTGATGATAGATGATGATGATGATGATGATGGAGATGACGATGGAGATGATGATGGAGATGATGATGAAGATGATGGTGATGATGATGGAGATGGTGATGATGGAGATGGTGATGGTGATGGTGATGATGGAGATGAAGATTATGATGATGATGGAGTTGATGAAGGAGATGACGAAGATGATGGTGGAGATGATGAAGATAATGGTGATGATGATGATGATGATGATGTTGATGGTGATGATGATGATGGAGATGGTGATGATGGTGGTGATGAAAACACAAACACCAGAATAATCATAATTGCACTCACACTGTACGGAACAACAGCATGTGGTGATTCTCTTGATTGTGGTTCATCTATATCAAAGTGATATTAATATGTAAATAAATATATGTAAATGAATGTGCTGAGATAATCTGCTGTAACAGTTACATTCCAGACAAATTAATCTGAATGTGAAGCACAAACCTGAAAATGTTGATACAGATTCTCTATTTCCTGCTCTGCTCCCGACACAGAGCTCTTTAATCTGACACACACACACACACACACACACACACACACACATACACACACACACACACACACACACACACACACACACACACACACACAGATATACGCACGCACACAGATTTATTGTGATTAGTGACTAAAATTGTATAAGAATAAAAATGATCAGATCAAATATCAAACAATACAGAAGACAGTTTATCTTTCTTTATTCTGTAATAAACACTACTGTGTGTATATATAACCATGTGTGAGTTTGTCTGTGTGAGTGTGTGTATCTCACCATGCGTGTGTGTGCGAGTGTGTGTGTGTGTGTGTGTGTGTGTGTGTGTGTGCATGTGTATCTCACCGTATGTGTGAGTGTACAGTCGGACACACACTCGGTCAGCAGCTGGACAGCTGAGTGGAGGATGTGAGCGGAGGACACACACACAGACAGTGACATCACGCTGAAGGTATGGCTGAACCTCAGCAGGCCTGACTGACCCGTCCACACCTGCGAGACTCCGCCCAGAGGCGTGGTCAGAGGGTTAGGGGGGCTGCAGGAGGAGACAGGATAAAAATAATAAATTATATTTATATATATATATATATATATATATATATAATTCAGATGTAAATAGTATGTAATGTAATAGTATGAGTTCTCTATCAGAGAGAGACCGTAAAGCTTCCTACTGGGTGAGGAGGCTGATGAGCTCGTGCTGTTTGGTCCGCTGGGCCAGCTGTAGCGGCGTGTCTCCAGTCTGATTGGCTGAATTTATCATCATCAGAGCACCAGGCTGACACAGCAGGAACTCACACACACACACAAACCCCAACCGCACACAGAGGTGCAGCAGAGACTCTACACACACACACATACACACACACACACACACACAGATTAATGCATACACACAAACCCCAACCGCACACAAAGGTGCAGCAGAGACTGTACACACATTAATACTCACATTAATACACACAAAAACTCAAACACACACACATGTACATTAAACAGACTCTCTGTAAATAAACTCTCTCTCTCTCTCCTCTCTCTCTCTCTCTCTCTCTCTCTCTCTCTCTCTCTGTATATTAAACTCTCTCTCTGTCACTCTGCTGTAATTAGAGCTTCCTCATTGGCTCCAGTCACCATGGAAACCAAATCCACTTAAACCCCCCCTACTTTACAATTCCACCATCATCTCCGGACATTTCTGTCATTTAGATGTGAAGCAGAGTCCGGAACACCCCCCCCACACACACACACACACAATCAATCACTTTAACCTGCTCCTCTCTGAGTGTGAGTGAACTCTGCTGAGCTCATTCTGAAGGTCATCCAGAACCACAGAACTGTTTCAGAGCTGAGAACAGAAGCAAGCACACACACACACACACACACACACACACACACACACACACACACACACAGTTTTACACTTCCTACAAAATCGACCACCTTCAACTACACAAAGCACCTCATGTACAAAGCTTCCAGATCTTCAGCAGTTCCAGTGAGATGATCTCTGTGTCTGAATCCTGCCTGTAATTCTCTGCTCCTGCTGATTTCCTCTTTCTGTATGAAATATGTTTCAGTGTTCTGAGCACTGCTGCCCCTGGTGGTAATGTTAGCACCCCGCCATGATAAAGAACTCTGCAGAAAGAACTCCAATGCAAACCTCACCAGCTTAATCACAGAGCTCCTTGCTCCTCTCAGCAGCCGGCTGGGGCCTGCAGTTATAAAGAACAGCTAAAGTGGTTTGTGGGTGGTCTCAGCTTTAAGCCAGTGTGTGGGGTAATTTCTGTAGATTGCAGTGCTGGTAGTGTGTGAAGTGTAAAGGCTGCTGGAGTAGAAGTGTGTTTGGCTCTTCTTTAGAAATAATCCAGCACAGTTTTCCCAGCTGCTCAACTTCCATGAATTGCTTTCCTGTTGCTGTTCCTCAGCTCCTCTGTGCTGCTCAAGTTCTTATCTCAAAGATGGAACTTAATTGCTCTTGCAGCTCAGCAGTGCTCAGTAATGCTTTCTGGAGTTTATCTGTTTGTTTAAATTATGATTTTATGGTACATCTCCCCTCGATGGCCAGCTGTGTGTGTGTGTGTGTTGGGGGGGGGGCATTATAAACACAGGCTTTCCTCAGGAACAGAGCTTGTGAGCATCACCACATCACTGGAAATCTCACCATTTAAGTGCTGATGATCTCTTTAAGAAAGAATCACACCACAAAATCACACTCGTTATTTTGAAAAGCCAACATTACATCCTTCTAAAGTGTGACGAATCTACAGAAGGGAGATGAGAGGAGCACCAGAGTGAACTAACGATACTAAACCTGGGAGACAAGAGGATCCCCACAGTCAACTAACGACAGGTGGGAGATGAGAAGAGAGGTGTAGTGAACTAACGACACTAGAGCCAGGAGACTGGAGGAGACCAGAGTGAACTAATGACATTAGGGCCGGGAGATGAGAAAAGTGCTGGAGTGAACTAACGACACTAAGCCTGGGGGCGAGAGCAGCCCCGGAGTGAACTGACGACACTAGAGGTGGGAGATGAGAAGAGCGACAGAGTGAACTAACGACACTAGAGCCGGGAGACAGGAGGAGCACTGGAGTGAACTAACAACACTAGAGCAGCAAGACAAGAGGAGCACCAGAGTGAACTAATGACACTAGAGCAGCGAGACAAGAGGAGCACCAGAGTGAACTAATGACACTAGAGCAGCGAGACAAGAGGAGCACCAGAGTGAACTATGACACTAGAGCAGCGAGACAAGAGGAGCACCAGAGTGAACTAATGACACTAGAGCAGCGAGACAAGAGGAGCACCTGAGTGAACTAATGACACTAGAGCAGCGAGACAAGAGGAGCACCAGAGTGAACTAACGACACTAGAGCAGCGAGACAAGAGGAGCACCAGAGTGAACTAATGACACTAGAGCAGCGAGACAAGAGGAGCACCAGAGTGAACTAACGACACTAGAGCAGCGAGACAAGAGGAGCACCAGAGTGAACTAATGACACTAGAGCAGCGAGACAAGAGGAGCACCAGAGTGAACTAACGACACTAGAGCAGCGAGACAAGAGGAGCACCAGAGTGAACTAACGACACTAGAGCAGCGAGACAAGAGGAGCACCAGAGTGAACTAATGACACTAGAGCTGGGAGGCGAGAGCAGCCCCGGAGTGAACTGATGACACTAGAGCCAGGAGATGGGAGGAGCACCAGAGTGAACTAAATATACTACAGTCAGTAAACAGAAGGAGTGCCGGAGTGAACAAATGACACTAGAGCTGGGAGACGGGAGTGAAGGGTGGATTGGGATTGATTGATGTCCAAATGATGCATTAAAATGCATAATTAGTAGAATGTTCGTTCTCCACAATGCACAATGTCACAGTTTTGTATTTCACACTCACACACACACGCACTCACACACACACGCACTCACACACACACGCACTCACACACACACGCACTCACACACACACACTCACACACACACGCACTCACACACACACGCACTCACACACATACGCACTCACACACACACGCACTCACACACACGCACTCACAAACATACGCACTCACACACACACGCACTCACACACACGCACTCACACACACGCACTCACACACACACGCACTCACACACACGCACTCACACACCTTGTCCCGGCTGTCCCAGCAGGCTGTGTGGCGTGTGTATGTTGGTCAGGGCGAGTGTGACTCTGCGGTCCATATGAAGTCGCCTGCTGCTGTCACTCAAACCGTACCGACCAATCAGATCACAGTATTCGGTG